CACAAAAACTCAATCCCTAAGATGAAAACCCTGCTTTTTAATCAAAAAGCTAACTTTTGAAATTAATGGAGTAGATGACAAAGAACCTTTTATTAATTCGTGTATATTCCAAATACAAAGATTATATACGATTCAATGTAAAAATGAGATTTGAGAATATTCCTAACGATAGATGCTTTTTAAAATGATTTTGAACATTGAAATGAATTTGTATATTTTGAACATAATTAAAGATTTAAAATCATAAATTGATTGAAATGCACACGTATTATCATATCAATTAGAATTTCATCAAGTTAATCTACAATTTCAAATTATTCAAATCTAATCATTTTAGGATCATTCTAGATTGCAAAAAAGTAAAAAAGACGATCAAATTTCATTCAATTTTCCACTTTTTTTGCATTGATCCATCTTTTTTAAATCATCATTTTAAATCTTTAATTAAAATGAGGGTTATTTTGTTACATATTAAGTTCTGTCAAAATGTAAGCTATTGATTTTTTTGAGAGGGAAATAATCGTCGAGGAAGTAAAAAGTGACGCTTTAGGAAATATTATTAGAAATATGATAATAAATATATTTGGAAAAAATATCTTTTTTTTCAAAAATTGAAATGTTCATAGAATATTTTGAAATATGTAGGGAATTGAATTCGGTAATATATGATAAACATGATTTTTAAATTTCAAGGAAAAATAGCTTTTGTGAATACTTTTGAGAACTCTTCTCAAAGATCATGATTCAAATATATTAAAGAGCCAAAATATTAGAGATGAGTTCATAATCAAAATTTTACATTTTAATTATTTAGAAAAACGTATTAACCTCAATAAAAAATATCTCAAAGATTAATAGTTAATTTAGGGTTTCCTAGCTATCTAGAGGGAATTGTTCCTTATGATGTATATATTTATAATGTATGCATCATAAGGAACAATTCACTCGCTGAAGTGAGAAAACTTGTTCGCAATTGTTTATCATTTCGAACAAGTTTTCTCATTTTTAATAACAAACTAAAGGCTATGAGGCACTGATATATAATCAGTGCCTCATAGCCTTTAGTTCCCTGTAGAAAAGATCGAAATTTTATTGTGATTTTAACTGATATATATTTCGCTTGCGTTATTTGAATCTTTTCTTTTGCATATATCATTCCTTTCACTTTTCGAATTTCATTTGCCTGCATGCTCTCTCGTTTTGGTTGAAAATCAACTCAATCTTAAAATGAACTTCTTCATTCTTTACAATAAATTCAATTTTTTCGAGATATATCTTTATCTACCCCTATGTGAGCTGCATATTCTTTCTCGCTAAATTCTTTTGATTCTGTAGAGCTAAAAATCAAGTTTAATAAAAATAATGTTTATTCGTAATTTTGAAAACCAAATTCAAATTTGAATGAGAATTTTTGAAAAAATATAGAATATTTCAATAGTTTGGAATCTCTTCAACTTCCCACAGCTTATTAACACATTTTTTCCAGAGCGGTTTATCATCCTTGGTCCATTTCTTAAATTTGTTGTAAACCTCTCTTGGAGTGTATGGTCGAACTCCAATTTTTGGATGAGCGCCATGTGGCATGTCATTGTATTTTTGCCTGAATTCTTCCAATTCCTGATTGATGCTCTCAAATTCTGAAGACTTTGGAGCATTTTTGTCCAGTGATGGCCAGAGGCGTTCAATTTTGCCATTTTGACGTGGCATGTATGGAGCTGATTTTCTGATTTGAATGTCATAAGTACTCAAAAAATTTGTGAACTCTCCCTCATTTTCTTTACCGTTATCTGACCAGAAACAGAAAGGTGCTCCATATTTTTGAACTGTTGCAATTGCCACTTTTGAAGTTTCTGTTGAACTTTTGTTACAAAGCAATTTCAATGCTAACAAATAACGACTTTTGTCATCAATTATTCCATAAACCGGTAAAGTTTCTGGTTCTTTCTATCTCATACCGAAATGGCTCACAAAAAAGTGACATTTTTGGCGCCAATAATTTGATTTTTCTGATTCTTTCTATTTAGATATATTTATTTAATATTCATATTCCTTTATATTGCCTCATATTATTTCCCATTTTTAATCATATTATACAAATCTTTAATAATTTTTAATGTTTTGAGCTTCAAAATCTTGTTCTAACTATTTTCATTCATATATCCTAGAAAAAATTAAAAAGTTTTTTAGAAATAAAAATGTTTGTATGTAAAGTATTGAAAATATTCTAGATGAGAAGACATTCTCCAGAAGAGATTGATATTGATTGGCTTTGTGAAGCCATCACAAAATCAAATAATGGAGTTAAGTTAACTGATATTTGCGCGAAAGCTAAAATAAATCATGAAGGCAGAGTTATATATAATCATACTATCTTAAAGTATTCCTAGAAATTTCCAAAATTAACCGAAATATAACTGTACAGAATTACTATTTTCGAGATAAAATTCATATGGAAATACTAATTCATAACGCTTTATGTTATATAAAATTTAATTTATAAAAATTTCAAAATAAATCAAATTTAACACAATGAATATAACTGCAATCGAGGTTTTTGACGATTGATTCTTACGAGAAGTTTTCCAAACTTTGAGTTAATGTCAAGACATTAACTCAAAGTTTGGAAGTCTAATAAGGGGAATTGTAGGCTATGAGGTACTGATTATATATCAGTGCCTCATAGCCTGCAATTCCCATTAGAAATCGGAGAAACTTTGTCCGCATAACTGATGATGCGGACAAAGTTTCTCCCATTTCTACTTAGAATGAAAGGGCAAGAGGTATATAGGTACACTATATATCTCTTGCCCTTTCCTTCTTACCTAAAGACTTCCAATCTTATTTTTTCCCAATTTTCCCCTAAATTTAAATCTTATATAATATAAATAAAATACATAATATCAATCACAAAAATTAATGTTTATTTTTTTAATTAAAATTGCCGCGCAATTTAAGGTTTTCTGTCACTTTTTTGTGAGCCATTTCGGTACGAAACATTTGGATTACTTTTATCTTTTTCTTTGTAAATTCCCAGAAATTTTGCTGCCTTAATAACTGCATTGTAACTGATTTGAAATTGTTTTGGATTCATATTGAGAGTCCAATACAATTTTTGAACCCCACATTTGTAATTTTCATAAGAATTCTGAACCTTCAAAATTAATTCTGGAGTTAATTCCTCTTGTGGAGGACCACTTTTAATTTTTGGTGTACCACCGATTTCTTTGAATGCTTTTTTGAGAGTATTTCTTGAAATTTGTTTGAAAATTGTAACATTTTAAGAATATGGAACTTTTTTCAAAACTGTTGCGTAAGTTAACTCACCACTTTCAAGTTTTTCATACATATATCTTACCCATTCATTTGGAATACGAGGTCTCGAGTTTTCGTTCATTTTTTTTACTTTACAAAACTGTTTATTTTTCAGAATTTTTAAATTTGAAAACATCCATTCTATATCTGATAAATAATATATTATTTTTCAATCAAAATATTTTGATTATCATCTCAAAAGTGTTCTCAAAACCTAGTTTTTCTTATTTTGGATAATCATAAATAAAATCGTTTTAAATTACTTCTTCATTTAAATTATAACAATTATTTTTGGTTTTTATTTTTTTGGATCAAATCCATTTTAATAGAATTTATATACTATTCATCTATTAGTAAACACTACCGTATATTATTTTTTAAGCTATCTTATTTTTTGAAGTTTTATTCAAATCTTTGGTCGCAAGAAGAATTGCATGATAAATAAAAACATTTAATCAAAGTCAATTTTATTTTTCATATTCAAATGGACTGAGTGTTAACATTTAACATTTTTTGCTAATTGTCGTCAAAAATTAGGCGTAAAGCAAAAATTGATATTTCATATGGTTTATGATAGATAAGCATTATATTCCCACTCATTATATTCGTAAATTTTGAGGTTTATCCTTCGCTTTTAATATCTCATACCGAAATGGCTCAAAAAAAGTGACATTTTTGGCGCCAATAATTTGATTTTTCTGATTCTTTCTATTTAGATATATTTATTTAATATTCATATTCCTTTATATTGCCTCATATTATTTCCCATTTTTAATCATATTATACAAATCTTTAATAATTTTTAATGTTTTTTAACACAATGAATATAACTGCAATCGAGGTTTTTGACGATTGATTCTTACGAGAAGTTTTCCAAACTTTGAGTTAATGTCAAGACATTAACTCAAAGTTTGGAAGTCTAATAAGGGGAATTGTAGGCTATGAGGTACTGATTATATATCAGTGCCTCATAGCCTGCAATTCCCATTAGAAATCGGAGAAACTTTGTCCGCATAACTGATGATGCGGACAAAGTTTCTCCCATTTCTACTTAGAATGAAAGGGCAAGAGGTATATAGGTACACTATATATCTCTTGCCCTTTCCTTCTTACCTAAAGACTTCCAATCTTATTTTTTCCCAATTTTCCCCTAAATTTAAATCTTATATAATATAAATAAAATACATAATATCAATCACAAAAATTAATGTTTATTTTTTTAATTAAAATTGCCGCGCAATTTAAGGTTTTCTGTCACTTTTTTGTGAGCCATTTCGGTACGAAACATTTGGATTACTTTTATCTTTTTCTTTGTAAATTCCCAGAAATTTTGCTGCCTTAATAACTGCATTGTAACTGATTTGAAATTGTTTTGGATTCATATTGAGAGTCCAATACAATTTTTGAACCCCACATTTGTAATTTTCATAAGAATTCTGAACCTTCAAAATTAATTCTGGAGTTAATTCCTCTTGTGGAGGACCACTTTTAATTTTTGGTGTACCACCGATTTCTTTGAATGCTTTTTTGAGAGTATTTCTTGAAATTTGTTTGAAAATTGTAACATTTTGATAAGAATATGGAACTTTTTTCAAAACTGTTGCGTAAGTTAACTCACCACTTTCAAGTTTTTCATACATATATCTTACCCATTCATTTGGAATACGAGGTCTCGAGTTTTCGTTCATTTTTTTTACTTTACAAAACTGTTTATTTTTCAGAATTTTTAAATTTGAAAACATCCATTCTATATCTGATAAATAATATATTATTTTTCAATCAAAATATTTTGATTATCATCTCAAAAGTGTTCTCAAAACCTAGTTTTTCTTATTTTGGATAATCATAAATAAAATCGTTTTAAATTACTTCTTCATTTAAATTATAACAATTATTTTTGGTTTTATATTTTTTTGGATCAAATCCATTTTAATAGAATTTATATACTATTCATCTATTAGTAAACACTACCGTATATTATTTTTTAAGCTATCTTATTTTTTGAAGTTTTATTCAAATCTTTGGTCGCAAGAAGAATTGCATGATAAATAAAAACATTTAATCAAAGTCAATTTTATTTTTCATATTCAAATGGACTGAGTGTTAACATTTAACATTTTTTGCTAATTGTCGTCAAAAATTAGGCGTAAAGCAAAAATTGATATTTCATATGGTTTATGATAGATAAGCATTATATTCCCACTCATTATATTCGTAAATTTTGAGGTTTATCCTTCGCTTTTAATATCTCATACCGAAATGGCTCACAAAAAAGTGACATTTTTGGCGCCAATAATTTGATTTTTCTGATTCTTTCTATTTAGATATATTTATTTAATATTCATATTCCTTTATATTGCCTCATATTATTTCCCATTTTTAATCATATTATACAAATCTTTAATAATTTTTAATGTTTTTTAACACAATGAATATAACTGCAATCGAGGTTTTTGACGATTGATTCTTACGAGAAGTTTTCCAAACTTTGAGTTAATGTCAAGACATTAACTCAAAGTTTGGAAGTCTAATAAGGGGAATTGTAGGCTATGAGGTACTGATTATATATCAGTGCCTCATAGCCTGCAATTCCCATTAGAAATCGGAGAAACTTTGTCCGCATAACTGATGATGCGGACAAAGTTTCTCCCATTTCTACTTAGAATGAAAGGGCAAGAGGTATATAGGTACACTATATATCTCTTGCCCTTTCCTTCTTACCTAAAGACTTCCAATCTTATTTTTTTCCCAATTTTCCCCTAAATTTAAATCTTATATAATATAAATAAAATACATAATATCAATCACAAAAATTAATGTTTATTTTTTTAATTAAAATTGCCGCGCAATTTAAGGTTTTCTGTCACTTTTTTGTGAGCCATTTCGGTACGAAACAATCCTTCGCTTTTAAGATCATTGAATTTGATTTTTATATAAAATAGTTATATATTAGAAAATAATATGAGTTTATGTGATATTATTTTTCAGAAGATTTTGTGTTCTTCTTCAAAATTTTATTTTTTTATTAAAAAGAATCTTTACAAAATATACATTTACTTTAATTAATATTTAAAAATGTGCTCTATCAAAAGTTCCAAAAATTCAATATTTTAGCTTTTCTGAGGTGTCACTTTTGATGAATTTCTGTTTACAACAAAATAACTTAGAAAAATTGCCGCGCAAAATAAGAGTAAGTGTCACTTTTTGTCACTTTTCTAGTGATGCATTTCGGTACGGAACAAAATTTGCACAATATGATATACAATACCAGTTTTTGGAACAGGATCTTAAATGTAGAATCTATATGATACATTTTTGGTTCTTTGTATAATAAATCTTTAATTCTACAATCACCATAGACAAATTGAAAATCCACTGGATTATCATAATCATCAATATGATAAAACACCAAATTTTGTTGAGAAGGTGTGTTTTTATTGTCATCTTTGTACTTTTCAACAAAATCCTTAAAGTTTACATAATGATTTTGTTCTTTCGGTAATTTGATTAATTTATTTGATATTTCTTTCTTAATCTGTCTCAGTGTTTTTTTCATCATATGATAAAAATATAAAGTTATTGATTAGTGGAATATTTAATGCCTGATATGATGCAGAAATTGCATCCACCACCTTCTCCCACTTGTGAAAAACTGCTGAATATACCTTCGTAAGAAGATACTTTTTGGTGAGTATTTAGATTGCGGTGTATCACCTTGATGAATGTGATGATAATGTCCACTAACATATTTATAAGAATTATCTTGAAGATGAAAGATAAAACCAGCTGTACAGCTCTTCCTTCTTCAATAATGACGAAGAACAGTAATTTCATCTGCTTGAGTATGTGAATCTCTTGTATAATTGCAATTTGCAAACATTTCTGCTTGCATCCCATACCGTCAATACTGTACGAAATCAAAACATATATTTGGGTCAGCTACTGGAGCTGAGTTATCATTAGCAAGATTCATTACAAGAATGAATTTTTGAAAAAAAATGACAAATGTAAACAAATAAGGTTATATATTATCATAAATAAATAATAAATCAAAATTGCTATTTCAATAAGTAATTAGATAAAAATGTCTTTCCAATATGTTGATTATAAACAAACATCTAATAATTTGTACAATGGAATACAGTACAAATACATCGGGATAAACAATGTTGTTGTGTTGTAATATGATAAGAAATGATAAATTTCTAAATATAAACATCTAAGAAACTAGATAGGAAGTAAGTGTGCTTCCTATCTATATAACCCGAATGAGTCTGCAATGCTTTTGTCAGAATTTGTCGAAATTCTCTGGTATGTTTTTGGCGGAGATCAACTCTGAGTTGATATATATGTTTGTTACCATGAGTACTTTCTATCTGTATTTATTTTAATTATTAATTTCACTCTTTTCCTATGTTAAATTGATATTTTTTCTTCCATCAAAATTTAGCAGTTTTTCAATTATTATATTCATTAATTCATATCCAAATTTTCTTTTGAAAGTTAATTATATATATATATTTATATTAATTTATATGTTCAAATATAAATAAAAAATATAAAATTTATTTTCATTTTTTAAAAGATATATAATAATGGTTATAATGATTTATTAAAAGAATCTAAAATTTTGATGTTATTTTAAAGATACTAATTTACTAGTCACTTTTCGAAAATTCTACATTTTCCATCTTCATATGCTATTGACGAAAATGTAAATTTTTGAAAATGACATTTATTATATTCTCAAGCAAAGATAAAAATAATTTTAAAAATATCGAGTTATTCAAATATTATGATGGAGAAATGAGTGATTCTTCAATAAATTATTTCAAAGAAAAAATTCATGATTTAACTTCTTCAAGTGTACCACAAATAATTAATTTCAAAAGTTGAATGATATAATATATCCAACTGAATTTGGAAGTTTTTCTTCTAATTAACTCAGATATTACTCGCCGCAATTTTCTTGCAATGAAATATTTTGCAGATCATCATGTTCATGTGATAACATACCCAGGTCACTGCACAGCAGCAGCACAACCATATGATGTTGTAATTGCACAGGCATTCAAAGATATCTTCAACAAATAATTTTCCAATATAATTGATTCGGGGCACAATGATAATACAAGGAGTTTAATGATCTAAGCATTTATTGACTAATGCCTCGGTATTTTCGTAAGACGAAATGGTGGAAGTGAAGTGATGTTGAAACCTTGATATTTCCTCGAAATTTCTACAAAACATATATTAGACATAAAGCATATATCTTATTTTATTAAGAATGTTGAATAATAATATTATTAAATATTAAGTTTTAAAAAAGTTAATTAAATTCAAAAATGAATATATATTATTATTGGATAAATATTAATCAGAACAAATGATCTTTTTATTAATGCTAGACAAAAACAATTATATTAGATGCACATGATTAACATCTCTTCGTCTGATGATGTTTTTCAATTAAAAGATTATTATATACAGTTGAATTTACAAAATTCTTAATTCATAATTGCATGGCACAAGAGAGGTATGATCTGCTTATATGTTAATGATAGATATACCATATTATTTCCATTACTATAAATAACTTAAAGAAATATATCTTCCAAGTGTATTTTTTGTTCAATTTTGTTTGAAAAAATTTAAAACGCATTTCTTATCTTGTTTAGCTTTGATAAGTTGGATTAAATAATATTACTAAATACAAATCATGATAACAATTATATATTCATGCTAAATGCCTGAAGATCTGGTGAAAATATTGAGATATGCCTCACTTCCATCATTTCGTCTTACCACAATTGAAATTTCTACCACAAATATATTAGACATAAACTATATATCTTATTTTATTAAGAATTGTTGAATAATTACTTTAGATCATGGAACTATAAAATTATTATTTGTTAATATGAAGCTTTAAAAAAGTTAATTAAACAATATATATATATATTATGATTGGATAAATATTAATCAGAACAAATGATCTATTTATTAATGCTAGACAAAATCAAATATAATGGATGCACATAATTGACATCTCTTGGTCTGATGATGCCTTTAAATTAAAAGATTATTATATACAATTGAATTTGCAAAATTTTGATTCATAATGGCATGAAACTAGAAACGAATTATCTTCTTATATATTAATGATAAATATACAAAACTATTTTCAATACTATAACTAACTTAAAGAAATATATCTTCCAAGTGTATTTTTTTATTCAATTTTGTTTGAAAAAAATTTGAAATTTTTACAAAAATAAGTTGGATTATATAATATGTATAGATACAAAACATGATAATAAATAGATATTCATTCAAAACACCTAAAGAAATGGAAAAATTATTGAGATATGCTTCACTTCCACCATATCTCAATTGTGAGTCTTTCTTACAAGAGCAACTTGAGAAAATTGATCCCAACATCGGATGTGATAAAGCAAATGTTTACAATGATACTATGCAATTTCCACAAACAATTTTTTAATTTACTCTGCTTCCGAGATAATATAAAGTTATCAAGATGAATCTTAATTATGCGACAATAATACAACTATTGCAGCAATTAGACCGCGAGATATGAGGAATGATGGTATAAATCATGTTAGTAAGTTTAAAGTAAGATACAAACAAATATTGGCACTGTTTACTAAAATTAAAAATTTTGATATCA